CATGAACAGTGTTTACTCTTACCATTCCTACTATGCACAGCCCAATCTGCCTTCCGTGAACGGGTTTCACTCCAAGTTCGCGCTTCCCTCCTTCGGGTATTACGGCTTTTCCAGCAACCACGTGTTCCCCTCGCAGTTCCTCAACTACGGGGCGCCTGAGCGGGGCGGGAGCACCTGGGTGAGCAATGGCTATGAGAAGAAGCCCGACGTCTCGGTGCTGCAGGAGAACCTCAACCACACCTACGGGAACACCAACTTCCCTGAGCCCGTCCCGCATGGCATGCGGAGCAAGAACCACCACCAGCGCACCTACGAGCGGGCCAACCGCTACGCCAGCCAGCAGAAAGCGACGGCTGCCGGGGCACACAGGACTAACCCAGGCTCAGAGGAGGCACCATCCTTTGCACAGAACTGTTTTGGCAGCCGCCCCATCAAGCAGGAGCCTCCGGACCCTCCGCCTGCCATCGAGCCCCTTCCCGGTGCAGCGGCCGTGCCCAGTGCCGACCTGACACTGCCGGCCATCCCGGCACACGGCGCGGCGCCAGAGCAGCGCTGGAGCCCCTTCAAGGCGCCACGGGGTGCGTCTTCCCCCGAGAGGACTAACACGGCCGAGGGCTCGTGGGGTGCGCTGGTGCCAGGCGCAGGCGGGCGGGAGAAGCTGAGCGCCTTTGATGCCACCGCACGCCTGCCGCCACCGGAGAAGCAGTGGCCCAACGTTCTGGCGGCAGGAGAGCCAACGGCGGCGCCGGCGCGCGGGTCGGGATTGCTGCCAAAGCCGTGGAGCCCCTGCAAGCTCGGGGAGACAGCGCTGGCCGGCACGGGCACCTCCAGCTTGCTGGGCTCACTGGGCTTCAACTCGGCTCTGCCGGGACTGCCCAGCTTCCCCGAGGAGCCGTGGGGCTCCGTGAAGGTGGAGGAGCGCAGGACGCCGGCGCCCAGCCCGGGGCTGCCGGAGAAGCCGTGGGAGGCAGCGTTGGGTGAGAAGGGGGCGGCAGGGCCCCGCCGGGACAAACCGTGGGACCCCTTTGGCTTGGAGGAGGATCTGTCAGAGAAGGCGGTGAAGGAGGAGGAGGAAGAGGAGGAGGAGGAGGAGGAGGAAGAGGAGGAGGAGTGGTCGGACAGCGAGCACAACTTCCTGGACGAAAACATCGGCGGCGTGGCCGTGGCACCTGCCCACGGCTCCATCCTCATTGAATGTGCCCGCCGCGAGCTCCATGCCACCACCCCGCTGAAGAAACCCAACCGCTGCCACCCCACCCGCATCTCCCTCGTCTTCTACCAACACAAGAACTTGAACCAGCCCAACCACGGCCTGGCGCTGTGGGAGGCCAAGATGAAGCAGCTGGCAGAGCGGGCGCGGGCCCGGCAGGAGGAGGCAGCGCGCCTGGGTCTGCCGCCGGACGCCAAAGCCTTCGCCAAGAAGCGCAAGTGGGGCGGAGCGTTGGCGACCGAGGCGCCCAGCAAGGAGAGGAGGGACTCGGTCCCCACGCGGCAGGCGGTGGCCATCCCCACCAACTCCGCCATCACTGTGTCCTCCTACGCCTACACCAAGGTGACAGGCCCCTACAGCCGCTGGATCTGAGACGGGCGCAACCGCCGTGGCCCCATCTTACCTCAACCCTCGGCAGTGCCGGTGCCCGGCGTTGCTTCGTGGTGCTTTCTCCTCGGGCGTGGGGAGAAGAAAAAAAATAAAAAATAAAGAGACAAAAGTGAAGCAAAACACAACAGCCACACCACAAAAAAAAAAAATATCCAACCCATAGGAAGCGAACCCGACGCGCGGAGCTGGCGCGGGCATGCGCCGTCAAAGAGCTGCGCCCGGTGAGGAGTTGGCATACCAAGCAAAACTGGGTAAAAAAAGCACCCAGGAGGAACGATGCTGTTTGATGATTTTAGGTAATCTCCTATTTATATCTCCATGTTTTTTAATCTAGCCTCAGATGAATTTCCTAGCGTCCTTTCACGAGGAGAGGTTTTTAATTCCACTTAAAGGAAAAGCCTATTTGTCGGATTTGATTTGATTTTATTTTTTACTCCGATGACGACGACGAAGCCGATCTTCGAAAGAGAAGCCAACGTGGAAAAAACCCACCCTGAACACAAATCCAAACCAACCTGAACACCAAACCAGCTTAAAGGCAAGAGGTGACTCCCTGCAGCTCTGAGGCTATCGGGATCATGTGCTTTACTGTCAGCCGGACACGCTGAACAGCCGAATATTTTTATTCCTAAAGGACATAAAAATACTTATTTTGCAGCTCGAGGAGCCCTTTCTTACAGCGACGGGAGCCCACGAACAAGTGGGACATCCCGGGGCGGCACGTCTTGACTCGGCTCCTCCTCCAGCGGGATTGGCTCCACCGGGACGGAGCGGGCCAGCATCTTTCCTGGTGCCGGAGACCTCAGGACACGGCCGGGCTGGGAATGCCGCTGCTGGGGGGGCCGTGCTCGGGCTCGGACTTGTGGCTACTTTGCCAACGGCCCCAGGGCGAGCAGTGGCGGCGGCGGCATCTCCAAAGGAGCTGACAAGACAAAGAAACAGAAACAAAAAAATACAAAAAACCAGGAAAAAAAAAAACCACAAACCAACCCCAAACTGTGAATAGCGAGTGTTGCTCTCTGTACATCACTGTTGCTAAAGTCTGGTGCTTTCCGTCTCCGGGGGACTTTCTCTGCGCGATCGGCTCCGGGAAGAGCGAATCCCGAAGACTTGGCTGGGCCAAATCCCGCCGGGTCCGCCTTCCCTGCCGGTCCCAGCAAGCCGGCGTAGCGGCCCCAGCGCCGCCGGGGCTCGGTGCTCTTTACTCTCCCCGGGTGCCATCCCTCCTTCCTATGGATCACCGTTCTTCCCGCAAAAAAACCACCCAAACCCAGCTGACAACCCAACGACGATGACGACGACAACCGCGTGGTGCTTTTGGAACAATCTCCGTCGAGACTTCCCGCCCGACGCCGGAGCCGCGCCCAGATGGAGGGGCGGGAGAGCTCCCCAGGAGCGCGGCACAGACAGATCCGGGTTCCCGGCGTCCCCAGGGGGGTTGTTGCTTTTGCACTTTGAGGTGCCTTTTGGAAGAGCCAGCGAGGCAGCGCCGACGCCGTCACCGTGCGGGAACCACCTCGTGTTTACTGTCACCCTCCTTCCCCGCGCACGGGACACGGATCAGCAGGATCTCGGTAAAAAACAACCTGAACATTTACGTGGTCTGATTTTAAACCTGTACATAGGGAAAGAATTTTTTTAAAAGCACTTTCACCTAGATTTAAAAAGCGAAACTTAAAAAAAAAAGCAAACAACTCCCCTTCTTCCCTCTCCCCTCCCCTCCCACCCCCCCCAACTTGAAGCAGTATGTTTTAAACAAGATTATCGTGGGAGAACTGTAAATACTGGCAGAATATTTAACATGCTTTGTCCGTCCTTCATCATTAATGATTTTTTTTTTTTGTTTGTTTTTTAACCGTAATCTGTAAAGTCGCGTATATTTGACAAGGAAACTCAACGAGCTATTCCCGCTTTTCTTATAAATACCCAATAGCATATCAGGATTGTAAGAGTTGACGGCAAGTCGGATTTTAGGGATGCCTGTTCCAGCGGGGGACCCGCCGTGTGGTTGGGAGGGGGGAGAGGGGACCCGGCTGATGTGGGGCCGGATTCGGGTGCCGGCCCCATCGGCATCGCCGGGGGTTTGTCTCTGGCTGGCGCGGCGGGGGTGCCTTGGAGCTTCGCCTGGAGCGTGGGGGGGAGAAGGAGCGTTCGGAGAAGGCGATGGTCCGTGTAACCTGTCTAAGTCCTGCTTCCTTGGAGGTGTTTTTGATGCAGGGAGGGGGGTTGGTCCGTTGGCTCTGGGGGGAGCGGGAGCTGCCGGCGCCGTGGGTTGGGGGGAGCAAGAACTGCTGCAGTCTCACGTTTTTACACTACATAACGTCTAACCTACCTCAACTCTCAGTCATTACAAATTCGCACGCTTCAGACTTCTACACAAAACTCGAAATCTATGCACAGCTCTTTTACCCCTTGCTGCTGAGAGGCTGTTTCCAAGCAAAATCTTTCCCTTTACCCGCCCTGGCGGCCGCGCTCATCCCGCCCGCACCGAAGCCACAGGGGTCACGGAGTTCGAGGGGGGAAGGAACGTTTTTAATCGCTTCGGAATGGGATGTGGGGACCTCGTTTTGCAGCAGGTCGTGGCCACAATGGTGCTAGAACAAAACCCGTGGTGGAAACCCCGGGGAGAGCTCGGCACGGGGAGCCCCAACCGGCTTCTTCCGTCCCGCTGCAGGCGGGAAATGAGGGGTGCATTTCGGGTCCCCCCGTCCCGATGCTCTCGGGATGAGGCGTGGGAAGGAGAAGGAAACCAGAATCCCTGAGGTGCCTCAATTGCTGATTTTTCCTTTTAATACTGGAGTACGCTTTGTGGGCTCTATAAGGCATATTTTTATTAAATGAAATCTTGTAATACAAACGGTGCTATGGTGTTTTAACAAACTGTATCACGCTTCTGCCTGATTCCATCTCGCTGAGGTGCTACTAATGTATATATGAAACTAAGGAACCAAGATATAAAAAAATAAAGCAATGTCGTTGAGAAGGAAGTTTACCTTTCCGGAGCGACAGCTCAAGGTGTGCCGGGAGCCGGTTGGGTTGATGCAAACCGGAGTTTTGTCATGTCCAATGTGTCCCGGGGTCGTGGTGGAGCCGTTCCCTGCAGAGCCGGTGTGGTGGTGGGATGAGGTGCTCAGATGTATGTGGGTGTAGGGTTTGGTCAGAGGTGTGATCTCGGTGCTCAGCGGTGCTTGGTCGTGGTGTGTGGACATGGTGCTGAGACGCGGTGTTTGGCCACGCACCGTGGATGTAGTGCTGGGGCGTGGTGGTCAGTCACACACTGGGGACATGGTGCTGGGACACAGTGTTTGGTCACACACCGTGGGTGTGATGCTCGGGCGTGGTGTGCAGACATGGTGCTCAGACGTGGTGTTTGGCCACACACTGCGGACGTGGTGCTCGGGCACAGCGGTCAGTCATGCATCGGGGGCGTGGCACGTGGACATGGCTCTTGGACATGGTGATCAGTCACACATCGGGGATGTGGTGCTCAGACGTGGTGCGTGGACACAGTGCTTGGATGTGGTGCTTGGCCACGGTGCTCGGACATGGCACGTGGACATGGTGCTCAAGCACAGTCACACATCGTGGATGTGGTGCTCGGGTGTGGTGCTTGGACATGGTGCTTGGGCACGGTGCTCGGCCAGGCATCACGGACATGGCACGTGAACATGGTGCTCAGACATGGTGTTCAGACATGGTGCGTGGACACGGTCACACATCGTGGACGTGGTGCTCGGGTGTGGTGCTCGAACAGGGTGTGTGGACATGGTGCTCGGACACGGTGCTTGGACACAGTGCTCAGCCACACATGGTGGACGTGGTGCTCGGGCATGGTGCTCTGCTGTGGTGCTTGGACGTGGTGTGTGGACATGGTGCTCGGGGCACGGTGCTCGTCCACATCCCATGGACATGGTGTGCAGGCACCGCGCTCGGACATGCTGTGTGGACACGGTGCACGAACGTGGTGTGTGGACATGGTGCTCGACCACGGTGTTCAGACGCAGCACACGGACACGGTGCTCTGCTGTGGTGCTTGGACTTGGTGCATGGACATGGTGCTTGGGCACGGTGCTTGACCACGTCATGGACATGGTGCATGGATATGGTGCTCGGGCACGGTGCTCAGCCATGCGCTGTGGACATGATGCGTGGGTACGGTGCTCAGACGTGGTGCGTGGACATGGTGCTCTGCTTGGTGCTTGGACTTGGTGCATGGACTCGGTGCCTGACCATGGTGTGTGAACCTGGTGCTCGACCGCAGTGCTCCGACATGAGGTGTGGACACGGTGCTCAGTCGGGGGTGTGTTCACGGTGCTTGACCACGGTGCTCGGACATGGTGCATGGACGTGGTGCTCGGGCACAGTGCCTGACCACATCATGGACATGGTGCATGGACGTGGTGCTCGGGCACAGTGCCTGACCACATCATGGACATGGTGCATGGACGTGGTGCTCAGGCACAGTGCCTGACCACATCATGGACATGGTGCATGGACGTGGTGCTCAGGCACGGTGCTTGACCATGTGTCATGGATATGGTGCATGGACGTGGTGCTCGGGCACGGTGCTCAGCCATGCACCATGGACGTGGTGCTTGGCGACAGTGCGTGGACATGGTGCTCTGCTTGATGCTTGGACTTGGTGCTTGACCACATGTCGTGGACATGGTGGATGGACACTGTGCTCAGATGTGGTGTGCGGGCATGGTGCTTGACCACGGTGCTTGGACTTGGTGCATTGACTCAGTGCTCAGCCACGATGTGTGAACACGGTGCTCGACCACGGTGCTGAGCCAAGGGGTGTGGACGTGGTGCTCGGACGTGGTGCTCAGACGTGGTGCATGGACACGGTGCTCGGACGCGGTGCTCAGACGTGGTGCTCTGCTTGGTGCTTGGACTTATTGCATGGACTCCGAGCTCGGACAATGGTGCTCCACCACGTGTTGTGGGTGTGGTGCTTGGCCGTGGTGGGTGGACACGGCACTCGGACATGGTGTGTGGGCACGGTGCTCAGCCATGAGGGGTGAACACGGCACTTGGCCATGGGGTGTGGGCGTGGTGCTGAGCCAGGATGTGTGACCGTGGTGCTTGGACTCGGTGCTCAGCCCAGTGCACGTGGTGTTGTGCCCACACGTGGGTGCCGTGTGTGGGTTCCACGTGTGGATGCGGCGCTCGGGCACCGTGCACGACCACGGGGCTCGGATGTGCTGTGTGACCGTGGTGCTCGGGGACGGTGCTCAGGCACACGTGGTGCTGGTCCGGGTGCACGGGCGTGGAGAGGGCGCTGGGCACGGTGCATGGACGCGGTGCTTGGGCACGGTGCTCACACAGCAGGCACAGGCACGGTGCTTGGGCACAGAGCATGGGCACGGTGCTCGGGCACAGAGCATGGGCACGGTGCTCGGGCAGAGCGCCTGGCACGGCTGTGGTGCTCGGGCACTGTGCACCCCATGGCACCCCCATGGCACCCCCGTGGTGCTTGGGCCAGTGCACAGCACCCCTGACCCCACGGCACAGCCCCCCAGCACCGCCTGGCCGGGCCCTAATCCTGGCACTGCCCCCTGCACCGTGCCAGCCCCACACCTCTGGTGCTGCTCAGCACCGCCACCCCCGGCTCCCAGCACCGCGTCCCGCACCACAATCCCGGCTCCCAGCACCGCGTCCCGCACCACAATCCCGGCTCCCAGCACCGCGTCCCGCACCACAGTCCCAGCTCCCAGCACCGCGATCCCGGCTCCCAGCCCCGCGTCCAGCCCCGCGTCCAGCCCCGCGCTCCCGGGCTCAGCCCCACATCCAGCCCCGAGCCACCCCCGCGCCCCCGCAGCTCCTCGCGCTCATCCTCCCCCATCCCGCTTCTGCCCGGCTCTTTCTTTTCCCCTTTTCCCCCCTTTTTTTTCCATTTTTTGGGGTTTATTGGTGCTACTTCCCCCCCCCCCCCCGGGCAGCAGCCCACCCGCGCCCCTCAAGGCAAATACCTCAGCCCCCCCCAGCCCCCGCCAGCGAGTCCGGGGTGAATCTTTCCGAAATCAGGGATCCTTTCGCAGCGGTGTTTCCTCCTCCTTCATTTCCCCCTCTTTGTTTTTGCCCTCCTTTTCTCCCCCTCCCCTTTCCGCCCGGGTTTTTCCTCAGTTCTCCGCATCCTTCAGGGATTTACAAACCGCCGGAATTTCAGCCTCATTTTAATTTCGGGAGCGAGGAGGTTTTGGGGTGGTTTTTTTGTTGGTGTTTTTGTTTTTTTTGTTTTTTTTTGTGTTTTTTTTTGCCGGTGGTTTTTTTCCGCACCGCGGCGCGAAGGAAAAAAAGAGGCGATAATTCCAAATTAAAAACCAGGCGCCGTTTCTTCTCAGATTCGGGAATTCGGTCGGAGGCGGGGGGGGGGTATTTTGGCGTTTTTGTTGGGCTTTTTTTTTTTTTTTTGGGATAATCGAGGAGGGGAGGTGGGACGGCGGCAGGTGGAGGGAGGAGACATCGCACGGGTGTCCCGGCGGCTCCGAAAAATCACACTTGAAGATTTCTTGGTCGGCTCGGGACTGTGGTTACTTGAAATGAAGTTTTTTTCCGGGGCGGATCGAGGACCGGTAGATTTTTTTCCCATGTCTCAAGGCAATAGGATTAATGTGTATTAAACTGTAGATACTTCTAGGACAGTAAATTTATGCTGATAATTTTATTTTGTATAATTTTCCCGTCTTTCTTCCCCCCCCCCCCTTCTTTGTGTTGTTTTATTTCCCCTTAACCCCCTTTTCTTTCCCCCAGTGTGTCGGTAAATTTATTTTTTAGGATGCCTAAAAATTGCAAGTTTGGATCCTCCCCCTCCCTCCCCCCCTGGTTTTGGTTTTCTTTTTTTTGTTTGTTTATTTTTTGTTCTGTTGTTGTTTTCTGTTCTTTTTTTTTTTTTAATTTGTATTTTATTCTGAGTTGGCGCGGCCGTGGGGCCGTGGGCTGTATTATTCCTGATATCTTTAAAATATTGTGGGTGTTTTAATAAATTTTATATTTATTTTTTGCACTCAACATGCGGCTCCTCCACGGCTTTGTGTTCCCAGATGGAATGGAATGGGGTGGGAATGGGCGGGGAGGGAGATGTGGGGTGGGAATGGGGGGCAGGATGGGGGGCTGTGGGATGGGGGGGCAGGATGGGGCACTGGGTGTGGGAATAGGGGGGAAGGATTGGGCCCACCTGAGGGAGGGGCAGGATTTAGGGAGAGGGGTTGGGATAGAAGGGCAGGATGGAGCCTTTTTGGGAACAGGGGAGCAGGATGGGGCCCTGGATATTGGAATGGGGATCAGGATGGGGCTCTGTGAGTGGGAATGGGGGGGCAGGATGGGCCTTTACAGGAATGAGGGAGTCAGATATGGGAGTCTGGGAATGGGATGGAGAGTGGGATGGGGCCCTGTAAACGGGAATGGGGGGGGCTGGATGGGATCCTTTGGGGGGTGGTTTGATGGAACCCTGTCTGTGGGATGGGGGCAGGATGGGGCTCTGGATAAGGGTTGGGGTGGGAGTGGGGGACAAGCCTGGGCTCGATGGGAGGGGAAGGATTTTGGGGGGGGAATGGGATAGAAGGGCAGGATGGAACTTCCTTTAGGATGGGGTTCTGGAGAGGGGTTGGGAGGGCAGGATGGGGCCCTTCTGGGGGGAATGGGAGGATGGGGCCCTGTCTGGGGGGGTGGGACTTTCCTTGTGGGAAGGGGGGGCAGGATGGGGCCCTGTGTGTGTGTGTGTGGGGGGGGCTCGATGTGGAAATGAGGGGGTCAGGTTGAGACTCTCTTTTGGGGAGGGGCAGGATGGGACCTTTTGGGAATGGCGGGGGGGAGGGGTCGGGTCCCCTCCTCTGGGGTCCTCCGAGCCGCCAGGGGGCGCTCGGCGGTGCAGGGCTGAGCCGCGGGGTGACCCCGGCGCGCGCCCCGGGATGGCGGCGGGGCTGGGCCGGGGCCCGGTGAGTGTCCGTCTGTCCCCGCGTCCCTGTGTCCCTGTGTCCGTCTGTCCCCGCGTCCGTGTGTCCCTGTGTCCGTCTGTCTGTCCCCGCATCCGTGTATCCCTGTGTCCGTCTGTCTGTCCCCGCATCCGTGTGTCCCTGTGTCCGTCTGTCCCCGCGTCCGTGTGTCCCTGTGTACGTCTGTCCCTGTGTGTCCCTGTGTCCGTCTGTCTGACCCTCTCCCTGTGTGTCCCTGCGTCCGTCTGTCCCTGTCCGTGTTCGTCACTGTGTCCCCGTGTCCGTCTGTCCCTGTCCGTGTCCCCCCGGTGCCGGCCCGCGGCTCCCCCCGGGAGATGTATCCCTCCCCTCGCTCCCCTCCCGGGCCCTCGGTGCCCCTGAAGGCAGCCCCGTTTCCATCCCTCCTTTCCCTGGTTCCCCTCTTCTGGTTTCCCCCCACTCCAGTTCGCCCCTTTCTGCGATGCCTCTGAAGGCAGCCCCCATTTCATCCCATCTTCCCGCATTCCCATTCCTCCATCCCTCAGTTGCCCCGGTGTCCCCCACTCTGTACCAGCAGCCTTCCCTTCCCTTGCCTTGCCTTCCCAAACCTTCCCTTCCCTCCTCCCATATCCCCCCGGGCACAGACAGCCCCCACCCACTCCCACCCCCAGCCCCCTCTGTGTGTGTTTGGGGTCTCTCCAGGGTCTGCCCATTTCCTGTGTGTGTGTTTGGGGTCCCCCAAGGTCCCCCCACTCTCTGTGTGTGTGTTTGGGGTCCCCCAGGGCCCCCCCAGTCTCCCATCACTGTCCCCCCCAGCTGTTCCTGCGCTGCCGCTCCTGGCGCAGCCTCAGCTCCGGCTCCGAGGGGGAGTCGCACCTGACGCGGGTCCTGCGGGAGAGGTTCCCCAGGGCCTCCTCCATCAAGGTCGTGGACATCTCAGGTAAAGCTCCTTGTTCTCCTCCTCCGTCCTCCCAGTTACCCTGTCCCAGACCCCCGGCGGGTCGGGGCTGTGGGGGCACAGCAGTCCCTCCTGTTTGCTGGAGGATTTGCTGCCCGTGTCATTTCTCAGGAGGCTGCGGGGCCATGTACGAGATCCACATCGAGTCCGAGGAGTTCAGGGAGAAGAGGACAGTGCAGCAGCACCAGATGGTCAACCAGGTGAGGGGGCCGGGGGTCAGGGGGGACCCCAAGGGAGCACAAAGGGTGTGGAGGGCACTGGGGAGGGCACAGTGAGGGTGAGCAGCACAGAGCTGGGCACTCTGGGGCACTTGAACCTTCACGGATGTCTCCCAGAGTCACTGCTGGACACACACACTGGGACTGGGAAGGGTAGTTCTTCCTTCCCGGTTCAAAAAGTGTGTGCAGCTCTGAGCTGGGGGCTCTGGTGGTGTCTGTGCACTCAGTGCCTGCAGTGCTGCACACACTGACAGGATTTGTGCTGTGCCTGCACCCAGTGAGTGCTTCACACTTCCTTTCCCCAATAATAACCAGTGCAGCCCTCTTTTCCCCTCCCTTCCCAGTTCAAACCAGTTTAGCTCTGTGTGCAGCACTGGGTTGGTGCTTTGGTGCACACACAGTGCCAGAAGTGCTGCACACACACACTGAGAGATTCCTGCTGTGCCTTTCACTGCAGCCCTTCTTTTTCCCAGTAATAACCAACGCAGCCCTTTCCCCCCTCCTTTCCCAGTGCAAAGCCAGCCCTTCCCAATGAATTCTGGAGCTGTGGGTGCTCAGAGCTGTGCAGTTGTGGGCTCTGGGGGTGTGTGAACACACAGTGCCCAGCTAAAAGTGGGTGTTGCAGGCACAGTGCTGTGCACAGAGAGGATCAAATGCTGTACAGGGTGGCTAAAACTGCAGCATTTCCCCTGTAACAAAGTCTAGCTCGTTTTTGCCTCCCCAAAGCCTTTCCCTTTTCCCCTAATCATTACTGAGGAAACAGCAAAGCCCTTCCTGTGACAGTTCAGGTGCTGCTCCGTGAGTGCAGCACTTTGTGGGCACCGTGTGTGCACAGACCCCCCCCTCATGCCCAGCTGGGAGGGCAGCCAGCACAGCCCCCCTTTCCTGGTAATAAATAGCGGCCATTCCTTATTTCTCTCCTCATAAATGAGGAGGTGTCTGTGTGGCACCTGTAGCTGTGTCCTGTGGGTGCTCAGTGGTGGGGGTGGCACACACACAGCCGGGTGCTGAGCTCACCTGGGCAGTCGCAGTCCTGCCCACAGGTGAGCGTTTAAGAGCCCAGCCTGCCCTGTTTTTACCCCAATAATCATCAGAATCATCATGGAAAACAAGGGCTCAGAGCTGGTGTAGCTCTGGTGTGGCATTTAAAGCTGCCTGCAGCACTTCACGGAATATCCTGAGCTGGAAGGGACAAGGATCATGGATCCAACTCCTGGCCCTGCACAGACACCCCAAAATCCCACCCCGTCCCTGAGCGTGTTTTCCAAACCCTCCTTGAGCTCTGGCAGCCTTGGGGCCGTGATCAAATCCTGGGGGGCTGTTCAGGGTGCCCCTGACAGTGCAGGCCTCTTTGGGGCTGCATTCAGAGCTTTCGACCCTTTAGAACGTCCCTCCCTGGGCTGGTTTGTGTCACACACAGGACCGGGTGTCTGCCAGCACAGCAGAACCTGGAAGTCGTGTGTGATTCCACGTGAGACTCTGCCCCACTGGTTCTTTGATCCCAGTGACCTGAGAGCCCCAAAGCTGTGCCCAGCCCCGGGAGTGACCCCAGAGCTGTGCTTGCCTTGCAGGCCCTGAGTGAGGAGATCAAGCACATGCACGGGCTGCGCATCTTCACCTCCATCCCCAAGCCCTGAGGCTGCTCCACACCAATAAAGTGCTCCAGGGCTGCTCTGGCTCTGCCTCCCTGGATGTATAAACTTCAGCCAGTGTCGTGTTTTCAATCAGGGTGCCTGTGGGACGGGGAAAGAAGAGGAGGAGACCCCCCTCTTCCTCTGAAAGAAGAGCAGGAATAAACTTTATTATTGCCTTGCCACACAGGAGGGTTCCTCATGTCCCCCCCCATCCATGGGACACCCCAGAGCTGCTCCTCCCTCCCAGGGACAGGGACACCCCCCTGGGACCAGGCACTTCTTTCCCCCCCTCGGTGCTGCTGCCAAGGGGAGCTTTAAGGCTCTGGGCCAAAGTGCACCTCTTATCCTAAAAAAAGCACTTCCAAAAATAAGCTGAGCCACTCTCAGCCCCGGCCAGGCGGCTGCAGAGCCCAGAGGGAAACTCTGGGAGCAGGAAGCAGCTGTGCAGGACTTGGAATGTCACCCTGTGAGGGACAGAACCTGCTCCACCTTCACCCAGCCCACAGCTGTGGGGCACAGGAGCCCAGTGGGGGCTGCACAGCAGGAGTGGAGCCACTTGGTGTGTCCAGCATTCCTGGAGCCAAGCGCTGAGGTGGCTGAAGAAGAAGCAGAAAGGAGAGGCCAAAAGGGTCCCCCCAGGAATGTTTTATCTGTCCTTGGAGCCCAACTTCTCAATCAGTTCCTGCAGAGGAGCCAATTCCCTCCTGTCAATCAGGTTGAACTCCTGGCAAGGGAAAAGAGACAAAAAATTAAAGGCAGCTCTCAAAGAGCTGCTGGAAAACGTGGCTGGTCACCCTGGAAGGCACCGTGTGGCAGCTCCTGGGAGAACCACAGAGGAGCAGCCACCTCTCCCTGTTCTCTGTGGAGAAATCCAAGTGTTCAGGGCAACAAAACTTCTGCCACGTTGCTGTGCACAGAACAGGAAAAAAAAGGCACTGGTGCTGCTACTTTGGAGTCGATTCTTAAGCTGCAAACTCCCCCAGGTTCTGTGCTAAGCCTGGGTTTCTTGCTGCAGGTTGATAAGTGAAACCTGAGAGGGAAACTCAAGCATTCACAACCAACCCAGCCCCACTTCCTGGAAAAAAACCCACAAAAAGCCCAAGCCACAAACAGCACAGCTGGGTACAGAGGGGGGCTGGGTGTTATCTCCCAGCACACACCACAGCCGCTCATCTGCAGGGAAGGGCTTAAAATCCAGCTCCCTTTAAATGGGGAACAAGAAAGCCCTTCCCAGCTCACCTGCACGAAGAAGATGAAGTGCTTGAAGGAGGTGTTGAGATGGGCCTCCTCCTGCAGCCGGATCACCGAGTCGAAGTGCTGGTGGTAGATGTGGGCGTAGACACGGAAGAGCCGCTTCAGGATCGTCTTGGCCACCGACATGAAGTTCTTGGGAAAGGGGACACCTGGAATGCACAGACACACAGGGATGAGGCTGTGCTTGCTCAGGAGGTGCCATCCTGTGTCACACAGCACCACTCACCGATCTTGGAGGGAAAGAGGGTCTCGTCGTCCAGCTGGTCCTGCACCCACGTCATCAGGTAGTCGATGTATTTGGGCGCCGAGCACTTGATGGGCTTCTTGATGTTGGTGCCGTCTGCCCAGTGGTACTCGTACCTGGGACAGGGGACAGGGGGTCTGTGCTCCCACAGGAAAAGGGCGTTTTCAGGCCCTGTGACCTCCTCCTTATCTCAGGAAGGGGCCACACTGGTACCCTGGGGAGCAAGAGCAGTGCCTGGCCTGTTCGAGTTTGTCAAGCCCAACACAACGGCGTTGACCCCTCCAGGGCTTCACCCTCCAACATCACAGGATACGCTGTGCTGGATCCCATCAGGATCAGAGTCCAGCTCCTGGCCCTGCACAGACACCCCAACAATCCCACTCTGTCCCTCAGAGCATTGTCCAAACAACCCTGGAGCTCTGGCAGCCTTGGGGCTGTGCCCACTGCCCTGGGGAGCCTGGTCAGTGCCCAACCAGCCTGTGGGGGAAGAACCTTTGCCTGAGATCCAACCTGACCCTGCCCTGACACAGCTCCAGCTGTTCCAGGGTCCTGTCCCTGCTCACAGAGAGCAGAGATCAGAGCTGCCCCTCCACTGCCCCTCTGGATGTTAAAAATGAGCCTCAACTTCACGGCAACCTCCTCTGACATCATAATTTCCTTAAAACAACCCAAAAACTGGCCAAAAGGAAGCCCAGGGCCATCACCCACCATCTGGATAAATTCCCCTCTAGCTTCCAGACACCCTCCAGGAATTTGGCACTCACACAAGACTTCTGTGATAGACCATCCCAGGAGCTGGGAGCCTCCAGATCCAGTCCCCACATGTGCTCATCAATCCCAGGGCCCCTCCAAGCCAGGGCAGACATGGACTGACAGCACACAACCCACTTTCTCCGAGATCTTCCACAAAATCCCTCAAAAGCAGGAACCCCCCCCCCACCACGTTTCGACTGTCACCTCTTGCTCTACAAGTGAAAACAGTGCCCTTCAAACATTTCCTGTTGTCACAGGAAATGGCCCCAAAAATAGAGGCAGGAAGTGGCAGTGTTGGGGAGGAAAGCAAGGCAGGATGTTCCAGGGCACCTGCAAGTGCTGCCCAAAGCTGGGCTTAAAAACTGAGAGCCCTGAGCAACCTTACAGAGAAGATTCCCAGCTGGAGCTTTGCCTTGGTAAAATATGAGTGCAGAGCCAACAGCTGGTGTTCTCCCTGCAGGATTCACCCCTAAAATCAATGAGGTGGCCCCAAAATGTTCCTTCACTATCTTCTTTCCACCTTCCACAATGCCCTGACCTTCTCCCACGCAGCAGTAACACCTTGTCAGGAGGCTGCCAGTGTCTCCTAAGAACCACAGCCCTGGGGATGTCCAAGGCCAGGCTGGAGCAACCTGGGCCAGTGGAAGGTGTCCCTGCCCATGGCAGGGGGTGGCACTGCATGAGCTTTAAGGTCCCTTCCAACCTAAACCATTCCATGATTCTCTACAACTATGACAACAAGACCAGACTCTTCCAGTTGAGTTGGATCTCTCATTTTCTTTAAAACCAACTTTTCCAATCTCTTCAGCTTCCAGACATAAGGGCCTGATGGACAGGGAAAAGAGATCCCAGAGGGTGTGACCACAAGCAGGTGAACACCACGAAAAGAGGGCAGTGCTGGGCCTTGAGCCCATGGGGACACATCCCATCCTCTTTTTAGCTTCTTTCTCCACACTGCTGAGTGATCTGTGCACTCACCTGGGTCCCCACAGAGAAATGTGGCCCCAGCCCCCAGCAGAGCCCTCACCTGGGCCCTGCAGACATGACAGGGCAGCTGCTCTCTGTGCAGAATTCTGTGATGGTCCCGTACAACATGTTGATTTGGTTGAAGAAATCCACAGCTGGGAAGGAAAGGCATCAAGGTGACTCAAAGAGTGAACACAAAATGGTCTCTGAGGATCCCTGTGCACCCAAAAAACCCTCTGAAGAACCAAACATCCCCTTCCATGTGATGTCACCTGGCTCATGACTTTGAAACAGTTCAACCATCCAGGAACTGGAATTTCTCTGTCAATTTTTCACTGCCTGGCTCATTTCCCACCTGACTTGCACAGCATGAAGCTCCACTTAGCATTCCATATCCTTGGAAATAACAGCTTTGGGTTCCAGGCTCCCCAAAACCCTGACTGATCTGAAAAACCAGGAGAGACTTCCCTTAGGCTGAACTCTCCCTGCTCTCCTTTAAAACTGCTTTTTCCTCCTCTAAACTCCAAAGAAATTAAGTTCAAGGCCATGGGGAGCAGCTGCTAAAAGCAAACTGAACCTGCAGGCTTTGAAAACAGAAAACAAGAAAGGAGCTCTCCAAAGCTGGAGTTCAGTGGAAATACTCCACTTCCTCCCTGGATTATTTGGTGCAGCTTTTGCAGACAACAACAGGAACTTTCTAACACCAAAAATAACCCTTCACAAACCCAGCCACCTCTGAGAGTCTGAGCTGGTGAAAACCCACCCCAAACCCACGGCGGGGCAGGTTTGTCTCTTCCTTTTTTCCACTGACACTTGCTTTCCTTTTATTCCACCTAAGCAGAGTCGCCTGGGGAATTCCCAGGTTTGTGCAGGGATAAACGCCGAGGGTTTCGGGGTGTTCCCCCCCCGGAGGACTCACTGTTGACAGCGATCCACTCGTTGAGGTCCTCCCCCTCGGGCAGCATCACGGCCTGCCGCAGGTTCCCGCTGCCCAGCGTGGCCTCCGCGTGCTTCAGGAGCTCGTACTGGTGGGAGCCCTCGGGAATGTTCTTCTTGGGCTTGAAGGTCTTGGAGGAACGACTCCCGCTGGAGACAGAGGAGACACGTCCAGTTAGCCATGGAGTCATGGAATCACTGAGGCGGGAGAAGCTCTCCAAGATCACCCAGTCCAACTGTCCAGCAGCACCACCAAGGTCACTGGGCCAAGCCCTCGAGTGCCACATCCATGTCTCCTGAACATTCCCAGGGATGGGACTCCCCCGCTGCCCCGGGCAGCCCATTCCAGGGCTTTGCAACCATTGCTGTGAAGAACTGTCCCCTAACATCCAACCTAAACCTCCCCTGGGCTGAGGCTGATGGCCTGCAGCCATTTCCTCAAGTCCTTTTGGAGATAACAGAACTTGGAAATAGTATATATTGGGAAATAAAATATAATATTATATGATATTATTACATATAATAAAAGATGTTAATTATAATAATGCATTAATTATAATAATTAGATATTATATAATGTTATTACATTCTATATTACCTAATTATTATATAATGTAATATATGCTATATAATATATTTAATAAATTATATAATACTATAATTATATATAATTAAATATAATATAATATATAATTGTATATATATAATTATATATAATTATATATATAATTATATATAATATATAATATATATAATATATAATATATAATATACTATATATTATATATTATAATACAATATACAATATATAATATATAATATTAATGTATTAATATATAAAAATATCAATATATTAATATAATATATTATATTGTAATATATAATATATAATATATAATTGTATATATATATAATTATATATAATTAAATCTTCCTTCGTGAAGCCTAGCCATGAAAAATTATATAATAAATAATAATATATAATAAGACAATTATATAATTATATAATATAATAATATATACTATGTAATATATATTATATATAACATAATATATAAAATAATATATAATATATACTTGAAATAATTTAACCAACTTGGAAACAACAGAACTTTTGGAAATAATATAACCTGGAAATAACAGAACTTCTGGAAATAACATACCTCTTCTAGAATCAATAAGCATTAATTGTTTTGTTTGTTAAAACAAAATGTATAAACAGGTGACAAAGTGACCCTCTGTGCTCAAATGGGTGGGAAACTACCTGCTAAAAATGTGACTTGAGAGCCTCCTGAAATGGAAATTGTCCCCCCCTCGCTGTCCCCAGCAACCTCCCTGTCTCTCCTGCCTCTCCCAAACAGCCACACTGCCAAAACTGATGAATTTTGGTATTTCTCTACCACAGAATGTTAAATTTCAGACCCTGCCAGCTCCCAGAGAGAGGGATGGCCGGGAGCAGAGCATGGCTCATGGAAAACGGGATTCTCTGGTTGCCACACAACCCCTCCCTCCAAAACAACCCCTTCCCTCCAAAACTGCCCCCTCGAGGGCTTCCCACCCCCTCATGCACCCCCAAAGCCTCTCTCCAGGACTCCCTGCCCTCCAGGTCACCCCACTCCTGCTTCCAGCCCCCTCCTCATGCAGCCGAGTGCCCCCTCACCTTCTCCCAAGGCTTCCTCCCAAAAAACCCACCGCACCCCCACGGTTTCTTCCACTCCTCCCTGTGTCCCTCCAGGGCTCCCTCCTCCCCCCACAGTCTTCCTCAGCCCCTTCTTGTGCATCCCTAAGGAAACTTTTCAAGGTTTTTCTGCTCCCATACACACCCAGGGACCCCCCAAGCCCCTCATGAGCCCCCCAGCCCAATCCCACCCCGGGCCTCCCCCTAAATCTTCCCCTAAGAGCCCTCCCAGGCCTAGTAGTCATGGGCCTTCCTCAGCTCCCTGGGGGGGCCTCTGACCCCCCAAACCTTCCTGAAAGCCCAGGACTCCTCTCAGGATCCCCCCAGACCCCCTCCAGCTCCCTCACATCCTCCCCCAGCTCCCCCCACCCCAGGAAACCCACAGAGCCTCCCCAAAAAACCTTTCCCTCCCTCAACCCTCTCACAGTCCAGCCCTCAAACCCTCCCCAAACGCTTTCCTCCCGCCCCGAAAACCTCTCACAGACCAAGTCCAAGTGCCCCCCAGCCCCTCCCCACAGGCCCTTCACCTCCCCAAAGCCCCCCCAGCCCAATCCCACTCCAGGTTTCCCCCTAAACCTTCCCCTAAGAGCCCTCCCAGGACTCCCCTCAGACCCCTCCCCACGACACCCTCCAGCTTCCCCCGCCCCGGGAACCCCCTCAGAGCCTCTCCAAAAAACCCCTGCCCCCCTCAGCCCTCCAACCCTCCCCAAACGCTTCCCCCCACCCCAAAAACCTCTCATAGGCCGAGTCCAAGGGCCCCCACGGGCCTTTTCCCCCCACCCAAGCCGCCCATGAGCCCCCCGGGGTTCCCCTCCGGCCCGGGGCACTCACAAGAGGAAGCTCATGGCGAGAGAGGCCGGGCTGGGCTGAGGGAGCGGGAACGGGACCAGGGAGCGGGAATGGGCTGAGGGAGCGGGAAGGGGCCGGGCTGAAGGAAGCGGGCTCTGCCCGGGGTCTGTTCAGTCCGGTCCGGGCTCTGTCCGGTCTCTGTCCGGTCTCTGTCCGGGCTCTGTCCGGCTTCTATCTGGTCTCTGTCCGGGTCCGTCCTGGCTCTGCCCGGTCTCTGTCCGGGTCCGTCCTGGCTCTGTCCGGTCTCTGTCCGGGTCCGTCCCGGCTCCGTCCGCTCCGTTCCGAGGCAGCGGAGCCGCTCCCCGCGGGCCTCGCCCGGGCCGTGCCGTCAACTCTCGCGAGAGCTCCGCGAAGGGGGCGGAGCCTCGCCCGCCGCCGTCACCACGGCAACGGCCCCAGGCGCGGGGACACAGGCCTGGGGACCCCCGGGACCTCCCCACGGGGATGGGGACCCTCCAGGGACCCCCCGTGGGACTGCGGACCCTCCACACGGGGATGTGGACCCTCCAGGGACCCCCCGTGGGACTGGGGACCTCCCCACGGGAATGGGGACCCTCCAGGGACCCCCCCGTGGGACTGGGGACCTCCCCACGGGGATGGGGACCCTCCAGAGACCCCCCCCGTGGGACTGGGGACTCCCAGGAGCCCCCTGATGGGGATTGGGACCCTTCAGAGACTCCTCATGGGCCTGGGGACGTCTGGGACCCCCCACGGGGATGAGTATCCTCCAGAGTCCCCCATGGGCCTGAGGACCCCCATGGACCCCTGCGTGGGTCTGGGGACCCCCATGGACCCTCCCCATGGGGAAGGGGACTCTCCAGGGACCCACCCCATGGCCCTGGGCAGGGCCCTAATGGGTCTGGGGACCCCCCAGAACCCCCTCCCCACGACCCTGGGAACCACATAGGCCTGGGGACCCTCAGAGCCCCCTCCTCATGGGCCAGGGGACACTGCATGGGGCTGAGCACCCGCAAAGCCCCCATGGGCCTGGGGACCCCCAGAGCCCTGTTCCCATGGGGCTGGGCAGCCCCCCTGTGGGTTGGGGACCCCCAAAGTCCCCTCCTAATGGGCCTGGGGACTCCCAGAGTCCTGGTCCCATGGTCCTGGGCACCTCCTAATGGGTCTGGGTGCCCCCAAAGCCCCTTCCCCACAGACCTGGGCACCTTCCACCATGGGCTTGGGGACCCCCAGAGCCCCCTCCCCACAGGCCGGGGCATCCCCCCACCATGGACCTTTCCCCTGCCCAGAGTCCCCCCAACTCACAGGCTCTTCCCCACACCCTCCACCAACCCTTCCCCACCTAATTTAACCCCTCCCCAGCTGCCACCTGGCTGAAATCCTCCCAAAAATCCAAAAGTTCATCAACTCCTTTTCCCAGGGCTGATTCCTGCAGGTTTTCACCCTTTCTTTTGCTCCTTACATGGCTCCTTCAACCCTTGTCTTGGGAAGAAGCTGCTGTTCTTGACCTAAAATGACTTTTATAACTAAGGAGTGACCATGAGGAGTTAAAAGCTAAACTAAACACGGTGAGGTTGTTTGTGTAATTTATGTCGCCTCCCCCAGCTCCAACAATGGGCTCAGTGTGGAACCGGCTCTGCCAGCACGGACTGGGATGGGGCTGGTGATCCTTGGATTTATTGGACACTCAGGAAGGAATAAAACCCCCCCAGGCTTTTCTGGCACCTCCATGACCTCGAGATAAACCTCCAAGGTCGCCTTTCCCAGCTCAAGGGATACCAAGGACGAAGTTAAGGAAAATAAACACATAGGAGGGGGTTGGACTCTCTCCACACAGATTCTCAAGGACTTACAGGTCCTTCTTTACCTCTTTTCCTTATCCTGGGCTGATCCCACAGCCTGAGCAGCGGGGGAGGGGGAATTCTGCCCCTCTGCCCCACTCAGGTGAGACCCCACCTGCAGAGCTGCTCCAGCCCTGGAATCCCCAACATCAGAAGGATTTGGAGCTGCTGGAGCGAGTCCAGAGGAGGCCCCGGAGCTGCTCCAAGGGCTGGAGCCCCTCTGCTCTGGAGCCAGGCTGGGAGAGCTGGGGGGGTTCACCTGGAGAGGAGAAGGCTCCAGGGAGACCTGAGAGCCCCTTCCAGGGCCTAAAGGGAGTCCAAGAGCTGGAGAGGGACTGGGGACAAGGGAAGGAGGGACAGGACACAGGGAATGGCTTCCCAGTGCCAGAGGGCAGGGCTGGATGGGGAAGGAATTGTTGGCTGTGAGGGTGGGGAGGGGCTGGGCTGGAATTGCCAGAGAAGCTGAGACTGCCCCTGGATCCCTGGAAGTGTCCAAGGCCAGGGTGGAGCAACGTGGCCTGTGGAAGGTGTCCCTGCCCATGGCAGGGGGTGGCACTGGATGATCTCCAAGGTCCCTTCCCACCCAAACCATCCCATGTTCTTGCCCATCTCTGGCAGCTCCAGCTCCATCCCAGCAGCAGCACTGGGGGTCTCAGACCCTCCTCAGCTCCAGCCCAGAGGCAGCTGAAAGACTTGGGTTTAACCTGTCACTGTAATGGATTTAAATGCCAGGGAGTAGGGTGAGATGGGATTTGGGGAAGAGATTCTTCTCTGGGAGGGTGGGGAGGGTCTGGGCTGGGATTCCCAGAGAAGCTGTTGCTGCCCCATCCCTGGAAATGTCCAAGGCCAGGTTGGAGCAACCTGGGCTAGTGGAAGGTGTCTCTGCCCATGGCAGGGGTGGAATGGGATGATCCTTAAAATCCCTCCCAATCCAATCCATTCCATACCAACGAGCATCATCCACATCCATCCCCTCATGATCTGACGCCACGTTTTGCACAAAAACATTTAATTTTTCCGCCTGTGGAGAGCACAGCCAGAACAGGGGAGCATTCCAAAGGGGGAGTGTTATTATGCTGCTGCTGATAATAAGAATAAACTCCTCTCTCCACTGCTGGAGGCTGACGGGAGGCTGCCCTGCACCTGCTCCAGGATGAGATCCAGCTTCCCACTGCGCTCTCCTTGGATTGCCTTGTTGATGGCAGGAGTACAGAGATCGATGTGATCAGAGCGATGTCCAATTTATTATTTAAATCAGTTGACTTTTATCCAGTTTAGTTTGTTCCGGGTACGTGCTCACAACAGGGCGATTGGACAGCTCAGTCTGTGCACGCGCCTCGTGCTCTCAGTTCATTGGACCTGGTGCTCTGTCCATGCGGTCTGAAATCACACTTGGCATGCAGAGCTCCTTCTATTGATCCACCTTTAGGGTTTTCCCGAGATCTGCAGGTGTTTCATTATCTCCACCTTCTCAAGGCTTTCTTACTGTAAACGTACTATGTTCTCAAACCTTATAATTATAGACACAAGGCTAACAAGTATAAACATTGCATATTTTCACACTGCTTATAAGTGTAAACATTACACCGCTCGTCACTTCTAAAGTCATGGCAAGCAAGGCCTGCAGAATGCAAGAAAAATTGTTCAGAGAAATCTCTCTGCTCCGGCCTCATTGCCTGGAACTGGGAACACTCGGGACTGGGAGCACTTAGTCCCAAATCCAACCCTAATCCTAACCCTGATCTTAGTCTCAGTCCAGGTTTGGACACACTTAGTCCTGTATTTAATCTTATCCCAGGCTCAAGCCAAGCCCCTGCTCCCATCCCAACCACACCTCTAACCCTAATCCCATATTTAGCCTTGACCTCAGTCCCAGCTCTAACCCCAACCCCAGCCCTAAACCAAATTCCACATTTGTTCCTAACTCCAACCCCAACCCTAACACCAATCCCACATTTATCCCTAACTCACACTCCAGCCCCAATTCTAGCCCTGATCCCAACCCTACCCCTCATCCTAATCCCACATTTAGCCTTGACCCCAATTCCAGTCCTAACCCCAGTCCCAGATTTAGCCCTAACTCCAATCCCAGCCCCAATTCCAGCTCTAACCCCAATCCCAACCCCCTTCTAGCCCCGATCCCAACCCCAGCCCTAAACCTAATCGTACATTTAGCCCTAATTCCAACTCCACCCCAATCCCTCCCAACGTCACCAAGATCCCACTTTTACCCCCTTTCCCTCCCCCACCTCTGGCCCCGCCCGTCACACACAAGCCACGCCCCCGGCCCCCTGCCCTCCTCTTACGCCCCCCCCCCATCGTGTTGCACCCCACGGGCTCAGCCAATCAACGTCTCTTTGCCCTATTTAGGGCGGGAACCCGCGCGCTTCCCCACCAATCACGCCGCCCTCCCCTTCTCCCTCCATCCAATCGCAGCGCGCAGCTCCCGCTCCGTCCCCACCCATTCAACGCCCCATTGGCTCCCGCCGGTGCGCGCGCTAGGGGGCGGGTCTTACCCGCCTATATAATGGGGTGGGTGGCACGCGCCGCTCATACACTGAGGTGGTGCCGCTTCGGTGTCTTTATTGCTGTTTCTGCTGCCATGGCGACCGCGCTCTGCCCGCTCCGCGCCCTCGGCCGCGCCGCTCTCAGACCTCGCGACCGCCGCCTGCACCTCAGCGCGCCCAGGTACCCCGCGGGGAGGACTGGGGGTGGCCGGGCGGGAGCGGGGACAGAGGAGGTGGGAGCGCGGCCCGCCCGGTGCGGGCTGAGGAGGGGGCCGGGGCGATGGAACCCGCGCCGGGGGTCGCGGTTACCGGTCTCGCCCCGTAGCTGTGCCGGGGGAGAGGGGCAGATCCTCCCCCCAGCGGCCGCGCCGGGCGGTGCAGGCTGATGAAATCCCGCGCCCGCCTTGCGTGGGGGTGCGGGGCTGGACACGGGTGTCCCCCGGGGGCGGGGATGGAGACCCCCCGGGACGAGAGAGACAGAGACCACCCCGTGCATCTCCTGAGAGCGACAAAGACCTCCCAGCCATCCCCCAGGGCGGAGGGACAGAGACCCCTGAGCATCCCCCGGGCACTGGCCCTGGATTTAAACGCTGTAAGAGGGACGGAGACCCATCCCCCAGGGTGAGAGGGGTGGAGATCCTCCTCGGGCATCCCCTGAGAGAAGGACAAAGCCCCCTGAGCATTCCCTGGGGTGAGAGAAGCAGAGCCTCCCCTGGAGATCCCACGGGTTAAGATAGACAGAGCTCCCCCCAAGCATTCCCTGGGCACTGGACCTGAATTTAAACGGTGTGAGGGAAACAGAGACCCCCTGAGATCCCCCGGGGTGAGAGGGACAAAGGCCACCCAGGTCAGAGGAACAGAGACCCCCGACCAGCCCACCCTGCTCCAAACAGGGCTCTGAGCTCCCTCTTTGTCCCCCTGTAGCTCCCCCGGGGGCTGGTGCTTCTCCCTCTCCCTGAGAGCCCAGAGCACCCCAATCTCAGGGAAGATCCAGGTAGGTTTTGCCTCTGATTTAAGGAACTTTCCATTCTCTGGCTTGCCAGGCACTTGTCATAATTCCTTTTACATCCAAATCAGCGTCTGGTAGTTTGGCACAGGTTTAGCTCTGAAGCTGGAACAAGAATTAGAGACCCAGTGGTAAATGGGTTTGACTGGGGTGGTTGCAGGTAGGGATGAAGTAACACTTAATTCCCAGTAAATGGGGAAAACTGCATGTTTGAGTAAGGCAGGGATTAAAGCACAAAAGCTCCTCTGCATCTCCAAGTGAGGATTTAGGGAAAAGGCTTCTCCTACCTGAGAAGGCTCCTGTGTGTCTGGAGCAGTTATGGGAGTGGTTTTCCCTGGTTCCAGCTACTCCCAGAGTTCAAAGATTGTACCTGGGAAAGGTCAGAAAACAGCACTGTTGGACTCAGTCCAGGATCCTAGTAGGAGAAGATCCATCCGTGAGGCAGCCGATGGATTTTTGAGGAGAAACTGCAGCAATTCAGCTTTTTCTGGTGGATGTTGAGGTGCAGGGAGGGTGGGAAAGTGCTCTTGGTGCTGCTGGGCTTTGTGGGTCAGCTGTCTCCTGGGTTCCTGGGGAAAGTGGAGTGGGTTGTGATGGAGATTGTCTGGAAATTGCTTCAGGAATAGGCTGGTTCCTGCAATTTGGGAAGGCACCAGCAATGCCAGGAATGCTGAGGAGCATCTGTGCCTGTTCTGGATCTGAGGGCAGGGAAATTGGGCAAGGGAGGTGCTGGTCAGGAGGCCTTGCAGAAAGACTTAAATCATGGAATATCCTGAGCTGGAAGGGACCCACAAGGATGATGGATTCAGCTCCTGGTGGATCCTGCTCCTTGGGGTCCCTGAGCAGGAAGAGGCCTTGGAGACAGGAGTTTCCTGCAGTTTTAATGGGATTGGGAGCTCAGCAAAGCTGTTAAAACTGGGGAGCACAGGGAGCTCTGCTGGCACAGGGTAGGTGTGGCCCCTGGCTGGTGCTGGGGAGGGAGGATGGGCAGAGATCCAGGGATGTGGGAGGGCTGGGAAAGGCTGAAAAGTCATTTCAGGAGTTGGAGTTTCTGCAGATAAAAAGAAACAACACGAAAAGCAAAGTTCAAGGAGCATTTGGATATTGCTCTCTGCACAGGGTGGGGTTGTTGGGGCTGTGCAGGGCCAGGAGCTGGATCAGTGATCCTAAGGGGTTCCTTCCAGCTCAGGATATTCTGTGTTTGTCTTGCTTGGTCCCAGCAAAGCTGTAAATGAGCCTGCAAAGTGCTGCTTAACAAGATTTAACATCGAGGTGCAAAGAGCTTGTACAGAGCTCAAGGGAAAGAGCCTTTTCTCCCCTGGCTGTGGTTGGCTCCTGGTTTTCCTGTTCCATGTTGTACAAAGCTGGGAGTTGATGGTCCTGAGGATGCTGATGGTGACACTTGTTGCTCTGTTGGTCCCTGGCTCCTCTCAGCCTCGCTCCCTGGGGTCTCTGAGCAGGAAGAGGCTTTGGAGACAAGAGTTTCCTGCATTTTTAATGGAATTGGAAGCTCAGAAAGAGCCTTTTCTCCCCTGGCTGTGGTTGGCTCCTGGTTTTCCCAGTCCATGTCACACGAAGCTCGGGTGTGAAGGTCCTGAGGGTGCTGATGGTGTGGTGGCACTTCCCCTGTTGCAGAGCTGATGCCGTGGTGATCTCGGGGAGGAAGCTGGCCCGGCAGATCCGGCAGGAAGCCCGGCACGAGGTGGAGCAGTGGGTGGCAGCGGGGAACAAGAGGCCCCACCTGAGCGTGGTCCTGGTCGGGGAGAACCCAGCCAGTCACTCCTACGTCCTCAACAAGACCAAGGCAGCGGCTGACGTGGGTATGGCTGGGGCTCCCTGCCCAGAACAGCGGGGTTTGGGTGGGAATCCTCCGGGCTGGAGGCCGGGGGAAGCTTTTTGGACTGAATCCGTCTGGCAGCTTTTCACCTCTGTCCACCTTCACCTGGAATTTGGGTTCTTGTTATCCTGGGATGGGGCTGGTAAACATTGTCCATGTACCATTGGGATCCTTCAGGACAACATCAAGCTCTGTGCTTGGGATTTTCAGCCTTCCCAGAGGCATAAAAAGCACAGGAAGGGCTTTTTGGCCTCCCTTCCTCACCTCAGGAGTCACTGTTCAGCCTCGCTGCTCTGACTTCTTCCCATCTTGCAATCCAAGGTCCTGCTCAGGGTTGGGGGCAAGAAATGGTGTTATTTTAACTTGGGTTCTGCACTGCTGAGAGGTTTTTTTGGATTGGAGATTTTTGGAGCTGAGATTTTTTAAACTGCCATCCCTTTCCTCCTGTGCCCAGAGGGCTCACAGGATGTGTAGTTTTATTTTCATCCTTGGCTGGGTTTCTCTAATCCCTCCCTGCACTGTGAGAAACTCAAACACTCTATCCCAGGTCATTAATCCCATATAATTGTCCTGGGAAGGCTTGGGAAGGTCTCTCCAGCCTGGAAGCTGCTCCTTATTGCCTAATCCATCCAGTCCTTGGTGTGCACTTCTGGGATTTGGTAGAGCAATGAAACAGGGGGGCTTAAATCCACAAAGATCAGGAATGTTGCTGCCTTGTGCATAGCCTGGGCTCACTAATGAGGTGTTTGGGATGATTTCCAGGGATCAGCAGTGAGACCATCCTCAGACCAGCTTCCATCACTGAGGAGGAGCTGCTGGATTTGATCAGCAAACTCAACAACGATGCAAACGTGGATGGGCTGTTGGTGCAGCTCCCTCTGCCTGGTGAGGAGCTGAACTTCCACCTCTTTCCGTCCTACATGAAGTTTTTAAGGGTTTCCATGTGCTGGGAGGACAATCCTGTGCCACGAGAGGTGGGATCCTGCCCTGGTGGAGTTGAAAGATGTCCCTGCAACTCCTCAGCACCATCTGCCTGCAGGAGTTTGGTTTCTGGGGGTCACAGGATCTATTCCTGTGCTGGGAGTATCAACTTCCAGTATCAACTTGAACTCAGTTGTGGCCTTGAGGCTGCCTAAAAATACCCTCAGCATGAGCAAGGCTGTAATTCCAAAGTGCTGTCAGTCCCTCTCTGCTGGGAGCTTTGAGCTGGAAGTGCTGAGGAGCCTCAAGCCTCCACATTTTGAGGTGCTTCGAGGTCAGAGCTTGAGCCCAGGGCTGGGGCTCAGAACTAACTCAGGGGCAGAACCAAGTCTGGCTCAGGGCTGGGGCTCAGAACTAACTCAGGGGCAGAACCAAGTCTGGCTCAGGGCTGGGGCTCAGAACCAGGTCTGGCTCGGGGCTCAGAATCAGAGGTGGAGCCCAGGGCGTGCTGGGGTGCCCAGCACAGGGGCAGGCTGAGCCCCCTCTCTGTCCCCAGGACACATCGACGAGCGCAGGGTCTGCAACGCCGTCAGCCCCGACAAGGACGTCGACGGCTTCCACGTCATCAACGTGGGCCGCCTGTGCCTGGACCAGGACTCCATGTTACCTGCCACCCCCTGGGGCGTCTGGGAGATCATCAAGAGAACTGGTAAGATCATCAAGAGAGCTGGGAAGAGCTGCTGCTCCTGCAGGATGGGGCTGCTGTCCAGCAAAATTCCAGCTGATGTCTGGTTTAAGATTCCCAGCTGGACAACTGTGTTAGGAGGTGGTGAGGAACTGGCTCGTGGGTTGGGCACAAAGTCACAGTGACTGGGGTGGTGTCAGGCTGGCACTGGGGGTGTCCCACAGGGCTCCATCCTGCAGTTCTCTTCAACACCTTCATCAGCTCAAAGGAAAACTGAGGAACTTTGCTGAGGACACCAGACTGGGAGGAGCTGTTGACTCCCTCGAGGGCAGAGAGGCCTCAGCAGATGAGAGATGGACAATCCCCAACCGTGGGAAGTGGAACAAGGGCAAGGGCCGGATTGTGCCCCTGGGCCGGGGCAGCCCTGGCTGTGTGTGTGGGCTGGGGATGAGAGGCTGGAGAGCAGCTGCAGGAAGGGCCCTGGGGGTCCTGGTCCATGGCCAGTTGTTCCTGAGCCAGCAGTGCCCTGGCAGCCAGGAGGGCCAACGTGTCCTGGGGGCATCAGGCCCAGCATGGCCTCAACACTGGGGCAGTTTGGGGGGACACAATATAACAAAACCATTGGAGAGTGTCCAAAGGAGGCAACGAAGATGGGGAAGGGCCTTGATTTGAAGGCGTGTGAGGACACTGAGGGCACTTGGTGTGTTCAGCTGGAGCAGAGGAGACTGAGGGGAGACCTCAGTGCAGTTCCAGCTGCCTGGGCAGGGGTAGAGGAGGAGCAGGGACTGAGCTCTGCTCTGGGGGGACCAGGGACAGCACCCAGGGAATGGCTGGAGCTGTGCCAGGGCAGGGTTAGGCTGGATCTCAGGCAAAGGTTCTTCCCCCACAGGGTGGTTGGGCACTGCCCAGGCTCCCCAGGGTTTGGTCGCGGCCCCAGGGCTGCCAGAGCTCCAGGGTTGTTCAGACAACGCTCTCAGGGACAGGGTGGGATTGTTGGGGTGTCTGCAGGGCCAGGAGCTGCCCTTGGTGATCCTGGTGGGTTCCTTCCAACTCAGGATACTCCATGATTCTCTGATCTTGCCCTCTGCAGGGATCCCAACGCTGGGCAAGAACGTGGTGGTGGCCGGGAGGTCGAAGAACGTGGGGATGCCCATCGCGATGCTGCTCCACACTGATGGCAAACACGAGCGGCCTGGAGGTAGGAAACCTGTCCCACTGCCCTCTTCAGGCTCCTAGAGCCATCTCAGGGGTTCCTCGGGAATCTGGCCAAGGCTGGGGAGTTAATTCTGCACATGGTCTTAAAACTGTTAAGGTTGGAAAAGACCTTAAGGGTCATCAAGCCCAACCATCAACCAGCACCATGTTCACCACTAAACCATGTCCTCAAGTGCCACATCCACATGTTTTTTGAACACTTCCAGGGATGGTGACTCCACCATTTCCCTGGGCAGCCTGTTCCAATGTTTAACAACCCTTTTCTTGAAGGAATTTCCCCAGTATCCAACCTAAACTTCCCCTTCCTGTTTCCTCTCGTCCTGTCCCTTGTTCCCTGGGAGCAGAGCCCAACCCCCAGCTGGCTCCAGCCTCCTGTCAGGAAGTTGTAGAGACCAATAAGGTCTTCCCTGAGCCTCCTTGTAACATTTTGGAGCCTCCTTCATCAAGTCCTTATCCCCTTCCATCCCAAGACCTTCCCTCTGACTCCACAGGCTGTTCCCTGGGGTTTGTCAGCAGGCCCTGATGTTCCTGCTAAACACAGGGGTGTTCTTGAAGGGGGAAGATGCAGAGAACTGGCTGGGTTTGGGAATTAAAGCTCCATGGAATCACTCTCCCAGGTGATGCCACAGTCACGATCTCCCACCGCTACACCCCCAAGGAGCAGCTGAAGCAGCACATGATCCGTGCGGACATCGTGGTGGCAGCAGCAGGTAGGGCCTGGCTGGTGGCACAGCTGAGGGGCACAGAGGGTGCTCCAGGTGTTCCTGGTGGGAATCCTTGGCATGGAATGTTCTGGAGCCTCTCTGGCAGCGTGGGAGAGTCTGGTGCTCCCAGGGCTGCAGGTGAGGGGCTGCTGGAGCCAGTTCATGCTGTGCTGGAGCCAAGGAGCAGCATGTTTGGTGTTCCTAGCAGAGCTGTTTGTGGCTTTGCCTTTGAAATGGAAAATAACACCTGGCAAGAGGGGCTTGGCCTGCCCATGACACCTGATCAGATCCTAAAGAGCAACATGGAATCAGAGACTATAATGAGTTGGAAGGGACCCATCAAGTGCAGCTCCTGGGCCTGCACAGACACCCCAACAATCCCACTCTGTCCCTGAGAGCGTTGTCTGAACAACCCTGGAGCTCTGGCAGCCCTGGGGCCGTGACCAAACCCTGGGGAGCCTGGTCAGTGCCCAACCAGCCTGTGGGGGAAGAACCTTTGCCTGAGATCCAACCTGACCCTGCCCTGACACAGCTCCAGCTGTTCCAGGGTCCTGTCCCTGCTCACAGAGAGCAGAGATCAGAGCTGCCCCTCAGGAGGATGTTGAAGACCTCAGTCTCTTCTTCTCCAGCTGAACAAACCAAGTGCCCTCAGCTGCTCCTCATAAGGCCCCTCCAGACCCTTCCCCATCCTCATTGCCTCCTTTGGACACTCTCCAATGGTTTTGTTATATTGTGTCCCCCCAAACTGCCCCAATGTTGAGGTGAGGCCGCCCCAGGGCAGAGCAGAGCAGGACAATCCCCTCCCTGATGCCCCCAGGACACGTTGGCCCTCCTGGCTGCCAGGGCACTGCTGGCTCAGGAACAACTGGCCATGGACCAGGACCCCCAGGGCCCTTCCTGCAGCTGCTCTCCAGCCTCTCATCCCCAGCCCACACACACAGCCAGGGCTGCCCCGGCCCAGGGGCACAATCCGGCCCTTGCCCTTGTTCCACTTCCCACGGTTGGGGATTGTCCATCTCTGATCTGCTGAGGCCTCTCTGCCCTCGAGGGAGTCAACAGCTCCTCCCAGTCTGGTGTCCTCAGCAAAGTTCCTCAGTTTTCCTTTGAGCTGATGAAGGTGTTGAAGAGAACTGCAGGATGGAGCCCTGTGGAACACCCCCAGTGCCAGCCTGACACCACCCCAGTCACTGTGACTTTGTGCCCAACCCACGAGCCAGTTGTTCACCCATCCCATAAGGCTCCTATTCAGCTGTATAACAACAGGCTCTGTTGTACCTCCTGTTGTGTTTATGTGGGATGAGAAAAAATACCAAGAAAATAATTGCCAAGATAAGATCTGCTTACCTGGAGCAGCTGCAGAGGCACCCCCAGAGCATGAGGATCCACTCAGAGCTCTGCCCTGCTCCAGACTGTCCCCTTGGCAGAGGAGCTGAGCTGCTTTGGAGGGTCTTTTTGGCAGCAGAAGGTGGGTGGGAGCCTGTGGGGAGGGAGGAGAGAAAGTGTGGGGTGAGAATTGGGTGTGAAGAGAAAGTGTGGGAGGTTTGGGGGTGTGTAAGGACAGAAGGGGATGGAGTCACCTGGGAAGGTGTGAGAGGAGCAGAGAGAGGGTCACATGGATGAGAGAAAACAAGGGTGGGAGGGAATTCCTGTTAAAACCCAACCCTAAGAGTGAAGGGAACTCAGGTCATTGTTAATAGATCCCTTGGGGTGGATTGGAGTGAAAGGACACTCATTGATCAGTGTTTACATATATAAATTATTTTAGATCAATTTGGTTGCAATGGAAAGGGGGGATGGAGCTGTTTTATTATCTGTGGACATGCAACAATATAAAAGCATGAATATAACACTTCAGAAAAGAAAGAAAAGATCAGAGTAGGAAGATCTCACCAGCTGTGGATTCCAGTGTTGGAATTTTGATGTCTGTTGGTCAGTCTTGATCCATCAGGGATGGGGGAAGCCCCCAGAATGATGCCTTAGGACACTTTAGGCATCAAACCCACAATGATTAATGAGATAATCCAGGTTCAGGTGGGAAGGCCCAGGTACTTTCCCTGGCTGATGGGTCATGTGCCAAACTCTGGTGGAAGCCCCAAAAATGAATCTGGGGGCACTTTAGGGGTCTTTGGTGGTTTATGGCCCTTCTAAGACGTGACAGCTCCTCTCACAGTGTGGCTGAGCCAGTTCTGCCCCATCTGAAGGATGAAAACCTTCAGCCCTATGTGGGAATGTCCTGATACTCCCCCAGGGGGGTTTTCCACCTGGGCCAGGTGTGTGAGGGAGGACATTGGGATGATAAAAATCATCATCCCACCTCAGGACCTGCTTCTTCTCAGCCTCTTCCATTATCTGGCTCAAAAAAGAACTCATGGCTCATCAAAAGTTGATTTGTTGTGGTCACCCTCTGGTGTTCACCCCCCTCTGCACATCTTGGACAGCACTTTAATTCCCAATGTCAATTTTAACACATCCTCACAGTTATTTTTCTATAAAATGCCTGGAATTTTTATTAATATCATTTTAGAAATTTAGAAGGTTCACCCTCAGCAGAACTGTCCTCTCCAAAGAAAAGAGGTGATGTGAAATTTAAACAGGAGAACTAAAGGGTGTTTGTGACAAACTTGAAAATTGTTAGAAAAAATGAGGCACTGGGGAAGAATATTGATTCCAACAGTGGCAAGAAATTTCTCCCTTAACTAATAATAGTGATGGGTCAGCAAAGCACCTGCTGCCCCTGGAAGTGATTGTTTGAGTCATTAATTGTTAATATTTAGGTGTCTCTCAGTTCTTCTCCTCAGTATCTGGCTGAACCAGACAAACACAGCCCACCCTAAAAGGGAGGTTGTCCCTATCCCTCTGGGACAGCCCTGGGATAAATCCCAAGCCTCTGCCAGGCTGGGCTGGGGTGGGATCAGGCACTGCTCCAGGTTCCTGTCCCAGTGCAGCTGGAAAACCTGCTGGAGCTGCACCAAACAGCCACAGACCTCAAATGCTTTGAGGATTCCATGTGGAGAAGGTGTGAGGTCCCAGAGCTTCCTGGGCATGGATTCCAGCTCTTTGCTCTGAGTTCTCAGGGAACATCTCAAACAGAAACATGGAATCATGGAACGGTTGAGGGACCTTAAAGATGATGTTGTTCCAACCCCCAGACACCTTCCACTAGCCCAGGTTGCTCCAACCTGGCCTTGGACACTTCCAGGGACGGGGCAGCCACAGCTTCCCTGGCAATTCCAGCCCAGCTCCTCCCCACCCTCAAAGGGAGGAATTTCTTACCAATATCCAGCCTAAAATTCCCCTCTTTCAGTTTGAAAGTGAAATATCTGATTGAGCTGCACATCAGTAGCTGAAATGTGCTCCTGTCCATTTGCCTTTCGTGGGATCGTTTAGGTTGGAAAAGACCCTGAAGATTATGGAGTGCAGCTGGTCTGGGGGGCAGGAAGGCCCAGATGGGTCAGAACATCCTGGGAATGTGGGTGAGGAGGAGCAGGGGGGCTGTTTAACACCCCTGAGTGTGTAGTTCTGTGTTTTTCCAGGCATTCCCAACCTGATCACAGCTGACATGATCAAAGAAGGAGCTGCAGTGATTGATGTGGGAATAACCAGAGTGCAGGATCCTGTCACTGCCAAGCCCAGGCTGGTTGGGGACGTGGATTTTGAAGGTATGGAAAGGCTCTGGGTGTGGGTTCTGGAGCACTTGGGTGCTGCAAAGGGAGGAAAAGTCCTGGTTCGTGTGTCTGGTTCATCCAATATTGTTCCATGTTATCCCAGGACATGCCATGGGAAAGCTGCACAGGAGACTCACCCTGTTGGGTCACTTTGCCTCTATTCCAAAACCTCTTTTAAAATAAAGCCACGCAGAACTTACCTCCTGCCCTGTATTCCCTGGCCTTGATCCTCCTGGAGCTGCAGCCCCACAGGGGCTGTTGGGATGAGCCTGGGGGAAGACCTTGGAATTTCCTCCTGGAAGAAAGAGGGTGAATGTCCAGATTGATGAAGTACCGACATCAAGGCCACACCTAGTCTTGGATTTGACATTTCTGTGCTAGAAACCAGCTTTTAGACCTTACTTTAGATCCTTTAGTCCTCCCTTTGAGCTTTTCCCCAGCCTGGGCTTTGCAGCTGGGCTGGTTTAGAGCAGCAGGGATGGAAAGAGCGGGGCTGGATAACGGGGAAAAGGCCACGTGGGGAAACTCCTGTTCCTAAATGATGACCCTGGAGGAATCTGGGGGCTTTTAGACTGGGAGTTGTTGCTGCTGTTGCTTTTGCTGCTGAGCTGTGCCTTTCCTCCCCAGGGGTGAGGAAGAAGGCCAGTTACATCACCCCGGTGCCGGGGGGCGTGGGGCCCATGACCGTGGCCATGCTGATGAAAAACACCATCATTGCTGCCAAGAAGCTGCTGAAACCCAAAGAGTTGGAAGCACTGACTGCTTGACCTGGGCCATCCTTCTCCTTTGTAGCACTGAAAGCAACATTCCAAACTGACTCCCAAACAGGCCGATAGAAAATGCAATATTTTTTTATTTATTGTCTCGGAACGGGAAATTTCCCACTCGGAGGTCGCAGGTATTTATTGGAGCTGAAGCAGCTGCATCTGCTGGCACTGAGGTGTGTAAATCTTCATGCCTGTGCTCCTCCTGCTTGTAAAGCTGCTCTATGTGTGAGCCAGACCTGCTCCTGCAGGGATTTGGGATCCTGGGAATGCAGCTTTCCCGGGAACTCCGTCAGCACTCCCTTGGGATTTGCTCCATGGTACGAAGCCTCGATGGTTCTCTTCTCACAGATCTGGAGTGTGGCTTGTGCTGGTCTCCTGCTTAATGCTGGATGTTTAGTTCGAGCTCTTCTGTAGAAGAAATTACTTGAAAAATGAAAAATAAAGCCATATTTGTGCTCTGGGGCTGTGCAGGGCCCTGGGCAGTGGCAGAGCTGTTGTAACATGTTCTAGTGTGCAGCTAAGCTGGGTTTTTTTGCTGTTTGGTTGGTGAATTTTTTTAAAAAGCCTTTTTTTTCTAACCAAAGAACAGTGTGAGGAGGGTTTGGTGTCCACAAAGGGCACACAGGAGGTTCCCTGGGCTGTGTTATGAAGTGTGTAACTAGTGAGTAATGCAGGCTAACTAAATAAAGTGTGAGAAGGCAAAAAAATCCCTGTTTGTGCCCTGGAATTATTACTAGTCAACTACTTCACTTCCAGAAAAGCTGCCCTAGTTGTTTTTAGAGCAGTTGTGGGGTGAGCTATTCCCCCAGAGCAGGGGGAGGTCTGCCTTCCACCCAGAGCTTAGCTGGGACACAACTGCTCCACCAGCACCAACTGGCCTTGAAAGTAAGCAAATCTCTTGCTTTCAAGCCTGATCAAAACCTGTTCAGCTCCCCGAGTCTTATTTCTCAGCTAAATCCACACCACAGCATGAAGGATGTTTTTAAGCTCTAATTATCCTGTGAACATCAGCCTTACCTGAGGTGATGCCTCAAGCAGGGCGGAAAAACTTCCTTGCAGGATTATCCATGGGCAGCGAGGTGAATCTTGGACTCTTTCCTCTTCACATGTTCCCTGGTGTGACTGGTCCCACCCTCCTGAGAGCAGGAATATTGTGGTGCCATCGGTTGGACTGGGTCTTGGAAGCTTTTCCAACCTTTAACGGGCTGAAGGTACCAGCTGAGCTGGTGCCAAACCCCCTCTCCTGGAGGGGGGAGCACTGATAAAAACACAGGGGGAAGGAAATTCGGGGTTCAGGGGCTCTGCAGCAGAAACACACTAAGAGCTGAGACTCATTGAAACGAGGTTTATTGGGTTTTATCCAAGAAATACAAAATGTGACAGTGGTCCCAGGCTGGAGGCGGCGAATCTCGGACGCTCCGTTTGCTCATACAAAAAGTAGAATCCACGGTGCAAAATAGACAAATTGAGCCAAAACCAAGCTGGATTCTACAGTGGCTTCAGCTCTGCCCTATGGAACAGCTACCAGAGTCCACAAAGCCTGTCCAGGGGTGGTGGAAATAGAGCTGATGGGCTGGATAAAGCGAATTAACCCGGTTGATTAAAATCATAAGCCTACGATGCTTCTACCACACAGGATTGGTACAAAACGCTACAAAATAGACACAGTGCCTTCAAGTTGAAATGGTTCTGGCTGTTCATTAACACTGAAGTGGTGATGGGGTAACAATGTGTTATTTCTCTCACCCCCTGTCCCCGGGAAATGCACCTGAACCAGAAAAAAATTGCTATAAATAGGAAATTGCCTTCAAGTCTCTGTTGGCTTTGACTATTTACAGGGATCTGTCCCACACAAAGGTTCAGACCAGTTGCAATATTTAACTGGTGGCCCAGAAACCCCAGTAGTGCTGGTGTAAATATCAGGCAAGGTGATCCTGCTCCTGGGGAAGGGGTTTGGGGCCCTGGGAGGTTGGAAATAGAGAAAAAACATACAGAATGAGACTAGAAAAAAAATGAGTAAAAGAAACAGATTTGAGGGTTGTTTCAGAGCAGTGTTTGGGCTTGGTCTGTGGAGGGAAAAAAATCCTTGAAAGCCTCAGCACTGCCCTGGTGCTGCTGGAAAAAAGGTGTGGGAGCTGGGCAAAGGGAGCTCAGAGCCTCCCTGGCTCCAAACCTTCTCCCTTTCCTTCCTCTCCCAGAGGATCCAGAGGCAGCAGTGGGTGGGAAGAGCCCGTTACGGAGCTGAAATGCTGATGGACACCCAGCAGGGAGGTGCTGGGTGTGAGCCTGGAGCACAGGGGGGATGTCCTGGCTCTGCCCTCCCTGCTCCAGGTGCTTGTCCTCCCCTCCCTGTTCCAGCCACCGGCTGTTAAACTGCTGGGAATGACCAGGAGGGAGGAGCTGAAGTGGGAGTGAAGCCCCTTGGACAGGGCTGGGCAGCAGAGAATCCTTGAATTCCTCCAGTGAGAGAATTCCTCTAGTGAGAGCACGGCTTGGGAATGTCTGTCTCGCTCCTGTCTTGGGAATGTCTCACTCCCACCCAGAGGAAGGGACGGGGCTGTTCCCGGGCCAGGGGTGGCCCTGGAGAGCCATGGTGAGGACATGGGGATGGGCCACCAAAGGGCTTCACTGGAGCCACTGTTCCCATTTCCCTGCAGAAACCATTCCCAATACCCTACAGAACCTATTCCTGATTCCTACAGAAACCATTCCTCTTTGCTACAGAAACTGTTCCCAATTCCCTGCAGAAACCATTCCTGATTCCTACAGAAACCATTCCTCTTTCCTACAGAAACTGTTACCAATTCCCTGCAGGAACCATTCCCAATTTCCCTGCAGAACCCATTCCTGTTTCCTACAGAACTCATTCCTGTTTCCCTGTAGAACCCATTCCTGTTTCCCTGTAGAACCCATTCCTGTTTCCTACAGAAACCATTCCCAATTTCCTGCAGAAACCAAGGCCCCATTCCCTGCCCTGCTCTTGCTCCACAGCCTGGTTGTTGTTGCCCTCAAGTGGCAACAACCTTCACCTCGAGCTGCTTCTCCTCCTTCCCTTCCCTCCCTGGAGCTCCAGGCTCCTCTCCATCCTGCTGTGCCTCCTCTTCCTCCTCAGCCCAATCCCAGCAGATCCAGGTCCCTCTGGACGCTCCCACCACACCTGGGATCCCATGGAAAGGACCCCACCCCTTGGACCAGCACCCTTCCCAAAACAAGCCTCCCCAAGAGCCACATCGTGATTCCAGGGATTTGGGAGCAGGGCCAAATCTCCCTCAGCCACTCAACCCTCCTCCCTACCCCAAAATCCCCCCGAAAAGCATCACCCCCTTTTCCTCCAGCACATCAGCTGCTCCCACATCCCAATCCCCTCCAGCTGCTCCAGCCCTGCAGCAGCTCCGGGGCCAAAATCACCAATTCCACCTTTCCAGCCCCCTTTCCCAGCGGGAAGGGCTGGAAACCCGACACCTCACGGCACTAAAAACCCCTGGGGCAAAACCCCTGGGGCCTCCAGTCTCCCATAGAAAAATAAGCCCGATTTCCTTTATATATATATATATGAATGTGCAGGTGTCTGTGTATATATATATATATAAACTGGGGGCTGGGGGGCTATAACGTGGTCTCACTGCCCATGTCCCGCGGGGCCTTCTCCGTGTCCGTGTCCTCATAATCCGACTCCATCTCGATCTTCACCTGGGGCACGGCACAGATGGGGCTCCGGGAGTAGTTAAAGGCAGGAGAGGATGGGCAGGAAATCTTCAGGTGGAGGGTAATACTGGGAACGAGGAGGAGAGATGGGAATCAGCAGCTGGCTGGGGGATCCCCCATCCCAAAAAAACCACCCCGAGACCCTCAGGAAACACTCCGGGTGATGGGCAGGAAATCTTGAGGGGAAGGGGAATATGAGGAGGAGAGAGGGGAGTCAACAGCCAAACCCGTCAGAAGGTTGGATGTGTGGAGATTTTGGAGTCAAAGTATTGGATGCATGGAAATTTTGGAGTCAACATGTTGGATGCACAGAAATTCTGAAGTCAAAAGTATTGGATGCACAGATATTTTGGAGTCAAAGTACTGGATGCATGGATGCTGTGGAGTCGAAATGTTGGGCGAACAGGAATTTTGGAGTCAAAATGTTTGATGCACGGAAATTTTGGAGTCAAAGTGTTGGATACGTGGAAATTTTGCAGTCAAAATGTTGGATGCACAGAAATTCTGGAGTCAAAATATTGGATACATGGAAATTTTGGAGTCAAAATGTTGGATGCACAGAAATTCTGAAGTCAAAAGTATTGGATGCACAGATATTTTGTAGTCAAAGTACTGGATGCATGGATGCTGTGGAGTCAAAATGTTGGGTGAACAGGAATTTTGGAGTAAAAATGTTGGATGAACAGGAATTTTGGAGTAAAAATGTTGGATGAACAGGAATTTTGGAGTCAACATGTTTGATGCATGGAAATTTTCGGAGTCAAAAGTATTGGATACGTGGAAATTTCGCAGTCAAAACGTTGGTTTGGGGTCAAAATGTTGGATGCACAGATATTGTGGAGTCAAAATGTTGGATGAACAGGAATTTTGGAGTCAAAATGATGCACGGAAATGTTGGAGTCGAAGTATTGGATACGTGGAAATTTTGCAGTCAAAATGCTGGTTTGGGGTCAAAATTTGGAGTCATAATATTGAAACTTTGGAGGCAAAATACTGGATATGCAGATATTTTAGAGTCAAAATGTTTGATTCACAGAAATTTTGGATTCAAAGTACTGAATGCATGGAAATTTTGGAGTCAAATTATTGGATGTATGGATACCGTGTGTGAAATTATTGGATGCACAGAAATTTTGGAGAAAAAATAGGGGATTCACAGAAATTTTGGAGCCAAAATGTTGGATGCCTGGAAATTTTGGAGGCAAAATCCATCCCAAAGCTGCCCTGGGACCCTCAGGAAAACACTCGGCATGGTGCCGCTGCCAATAAATTAATTAAAACTGATGTTTTGCCTTTTATCTGCAGAGAATAACCCCAAATTTCAGGATTTGGAGACACCCCTATCCTAAAAATCCCTGTGATTGTTGCTCAGCAGTGTTTTCATGGCTCCACACCCCCTGGTGCAGCCCCGCTCCCAACAACCTGTTTGGCAACGAAACCGCCCCAAATCCAGAGGGATGGTGTGGAAATAAACCTGGGTGTTTGGGAAGTGCTCAGGGGTGGTGCCAGCTGGCTGGAGAAGGTGATGCCCAGCCAGGAGCAGTGGTGGGTTATCCCAAAAGTGTCCCCCCCGGGGATGGGGGAGAGGGTGGGGGACCCCTTTTGGGGCCGTTTACCTGCGATCCATGTCTGAACCATTCGGGGAGGAATCAGAACGCAAAGCTCCAGGTGGAGGCCCTCTTTCCTGGGGGGACACGGAGGTGAAACATTCCCCAGGTGAGGCAGAATCTTCCCCCCCCCAAAAAAAAACAAATCAACCCCCCCCTCACCCCCAACTCCAACCTGCCACCAGGTCCTGCATCTTCTGGCCGGTGGGAGCAGGAGAAAAGCTCCTGGGAAATGCTGATTTTTGGGGGTGATTAGAGGAAGACAAGGCCCTGCAAGCCCTGCCAAGAGCCATGTGAGGACCCAGTTAGTGAATCAGCCAGTCAAAACTTGCTGGAGTCGTGATGCAACCTGGAACAAACCCACCCAAAATTTATCCTGCGCGGTTCTGGTCATTCCTGTTGGGAAGGTTGAGCCAAACTGAACAAATCTGGGGAATTCCAACACAAGCTCTGCACCCCCTGCTTTGGGGGGGCTGCAAACATTCCCAAATGTATATATATATTTTTTTAGAATCCCCATTGTGGGGGATGAAACCCAGGAGAGTCCTGGCTTTTGTTGAGATTTAAGGAAATCTTAGTGGTCCCCTGGTCTTGGGGTCAGAGACGCTCTTGAAGATCCCACTCTCCCCTCCTTGATTTTCGCCCTGATCCTGGGGAGCAGGAGCAGGAGGGATCCAGGGTGCATCTTCCAGCAGGATTAGTGCCATGGGAAGCCGAGTGGGTGCTGTGGAGGGGGTTAGGAAGCAGCAGGGAAGGCGGGAGAGGCTCCTGAGCCCGTTACTTACGGCTGAGGCAATGGGGGCCCCCATTTCGGGGCTGTGCTGGGAGGGGCTCCATGGGGATCTTAATGAATGAGGGAGGTGGGAACTGGGGAAAAAACGGGGAAATTTGGTGAAAGCAGTGCTTGGGTGGGCTCTGAGACCACCTGGGGCACCCACAGGCACCCAAAACCTGGAGGGGTGGGTGCAGGAGGAGAAGGATTTGCCTTCATGATCCCAAATCCCCTGGCAGGGTCTGCAGCAGGAGGCTCTGCCCTGAGGAGGTGATGCCTTAAAATACACATTATGTCGATTTCAGTGGAGCTTTTTAGCACTTTTGGAACAGAACTTTCTAAGCACCTTCTGTATGAGATTCCCGAAATGCTGTTTAATATTTCTTGTCAAGGATTCCAACACGCAAAAGATTTTTAGCGAGGTAAAGAACATTTTTTTTCCTGTAGAAAATGTTCTTAGAATAAGACACAACGGGCCCACTGCTTGATATAACCAGGTCCAAACTATTCAGAAGACCCAGAAGCCTTGAAACCGTTCCAAGAAGGACAAAAGATGATGATGAAGAGGAGGATGAGGAGGAAGGAGGGGTCTTTTGGACCTCCAACTCAAATTTGGGAGGTGTGTCGAGGGTGCTACTGTGGGAGGGGCGGTTTTGGAAGTGGGTGTAACAGTAGCAGGTTTGAATTATTAACTCGATTAATTAATCAGGCAACCAAATAAAAGTGAGAGGCTTTTGGCCCTCTGCATGCATTCTTTGGAAGAAATTAGATTCTTGTGCATCTGACATCATCATAATAAAAGGAACTGCTGCTTCCTGAAGCTCACAAATTGAGTCTTGGGTTTGTTTTTTTTTAAGAGCCAATTTTAGGGTGATATATTTGGCCTGGAATCCAGGCACAGAATCCAAACAATCCAAGCTGGTTCACTGAGCTATCGCTGGTGCCAAGAGGCTGCTTTTAGTGTTGAACTGGGCTCAGACCAATTTCAAACACATCAAACTGCAAAATTTCAAACACATCTCCTGCTTTTTGGAGCAGGATTTGGCAGATGAGCTGCTGGCTGACCTGCAGTCAATTATTTTATAACTCTAAAAGCCCAGTCCAACCTTCACAGGGCAGATTCTTCCACAGACATTCCTGGAGTGTGTGGAGCTTCTCCCATGACCTCTTCATGGTCACTCTCCAGGGGTTCTGTGAGAGATCTGTCCACGATCCATGAGTCCCATCAATCTTTACTTAATGATTGTTTCTTTTTGCCAGCTTTGATAAAATTGTTGTGATATAATTGCTTTGCACTGTACTACTTCATGCTATGTTGCACCCTACCAGTAGTTTCTAGCTTTCTCACTGTATAGTAAATAATTCTGATTAAGGTCTTTCATCTGTTCATTCGTCATAATAAATCATTCATTTTATATAAAGATGTCTGATTTGTCTTCACTAAAACCTGTGGGACAGAAGTGGTTCAACACACTTCTACAGTTCCTTACATTTAAGCAGTTGACATAATCCAAGGCTAAGATTGGATCCAGCCGCCCCCAGACTCCTCTGGGAGAAGGAGTTTGGAATGCAAGGGAGCCCTGGGAGGTTTGGGGGTCTATGGGGGGTGTTGGGGGTCCTTTCTGCACCTCAAGAGGCTTCTCTAATGAACTTTGTCTCAGCTTTCCACTCCCCTCCGACAGGGTTGAACAGGTTAACGATGCTTTGCCATCACACAATGGGTTCTGTACCCTCAGCTGTGGGATTTGAGCTCTTCTCTCTTTTTTTGCCGTGATTTTCCAGCTTTCAGGGCAGTCTGAGCATTCCCTGGAGCCTCCTGCCAGCCCCTAAATGTCACTGAACCCCCCCAGTCAGCCTGTTGGATCTCTGCAGTGAAACACTTCCAGGAGTCACAGATCTTCATCCCAAACCCACCAACCTGGACGTTTCAGTGGGACCTTCCCCTCCCACTGGTCTGGAATGTCCCCACTGTCCACAGGAGCCCCTCACCCACCTCCTCGTCACTGCTGCTGTCTCCTTTATTGCCTTTTTTCTTCTTCTTCTTGTCATCCTCTTTCTTCTTCTCCTTCTCAGGGATGATGTTGTCGATCCAGGCCAGGTCGTGTTGGGAGAAGACAAAATCCAGCAGCCTCCTGACCAGGATCAGGGCTAAAATCTATGAGGGCAGAGAAACGAGAGTGGAATCCCAGAATGACAGAGTCAGCCAGGTTGGAAAAGACCTCTTAGACCATTGAGTCCAACCTGTGACCCAACCCCACCTTGTCCCCCCCACCATGGCACTGATGCCACGTCCAGGCTCTGCTCAAACCCCTCCAGGGACGGGGACTCCCCCCCTCCCTGGGCAGCCCATTCCAAGGGCTGATCCCTCTCTCTGGGAAGAACTTCTTCCCCAGGGCCAACCTAAACCTGCCCTGGGGCAGCTCCAGGCTGTGTCCTCTTGTCCCACTGCTGGTTCCTGGGAGCAGAGCCCGACCCCCCCCGGCTCCCCCCTCCTGTCAGGGAGTTGCAGAGAGTGAGAAGGTCTCCCCTGAGCCTCCTCCTGTCCAGGCTGAGCCCCCCCAGCTCCCTCAGCCTCTCCTCACAGCACTTGTGCTCCACACCCTTCCCCAGCCTCGCTGCCCTTCTCTGGCCCTGCTCCAGCCCCTCCACATCCTTCCCAACCTGAGGGCCCAGGGCTGGGCACAGCACTCCAGGGGTGGCCTCCCCAGTGCCCAGGGCAGGGGCACAATCCCTGCCCTGCTCCTGCTGCCACACTATTCCTGAGCCAGGCCAGGCTCCATTGGCCTCTTGCCCCCCTGGGCCCCCCTGGCTCCTGTTCAGCTGCTGTCAGTCAGTCCCCCCAGGGCCCTTTCTGTCCCCCCACTCTGGCCCAGCCCGTGGGGCTGCCGGGGGTTGTTGTGGCCAAAGGGCAGGACCCGGCCCTTGGCCTTGGGGAACCTCAGCCCGTTGGAATCAGCCCATGGATCCAGCCTGGCCAGGTCCCTCTGCAGAGCCCTCCAGCCCTCCAGCAGACCCACACTCCCCTCTGTGAGATGTCCCCCCATGGGAGGGGTGGCCACGCTGGCCAGACCATATCAACACAGGAGTGCAGGGGCTCCATTTTGCCCTTCTCTCCTGGGACCTCCCGTCATCCTGTGACCTCTCAGTGGTGGCTGTACAATTTTCTCATTCTAACCTCTTTCTTTACTCCTTCCTTCTTCTCTCAATCTCTTCCTCTCTCTCTTTACCCTTCCCTTAACCTCCTGTGGGTGACAAAACTGATGGGTTGTATTTTACTTCTGTTGTGGTTGTCATGTGCTGGGTGCTTTGGTGGGACCTTCTCCTTGGTCCTGTGTTACCCCTATGAACCTTTTCCCAAAATGCCTCTTTCCTCCCTAAATTAAAAGAAGTCTCTTGGGAAACGCCTGTAGCATGTTCCCTTTGTGGGACTTCAAGGTATAAAGAACCAAAGGCTCTGCGAGAGTTGTGGGGGAACTCTTGGAGTCTTAAATATAAGTAGAACTCCTGGGCAGCTCCTGGCTTGGACCCGGGGCTTTACACCCCCAGCCTGGGGGAGCACCTCTCACCCCGAGACCTGGGGGTCACCAAAATGCCCTTAAATCCCAAAAATCTCAGCCTAAGCCAGGCTGGAGCTACCATGACGGGGAAGATGATGGCGGCCACGGTGGATTTGAGGATCCAGAGCACGGCCAGGCAGATGATCTGCACCAGGGTGAAGAGGTGGATGCGCCGTAGGGGGACGTGCCGCAGGAACACGTAGTCGGGCTGGTGCTTGGCCGGCATGAGGAAGAGCTTGCACCGATCCCAAAACTGCCAGGGGAGGAAGATCCCTGTTAATCCTCACCCCTATCCCAGGAAAACCCTCTTTGAGTCCCCACATTGGGGATTTGGGGGGGTTTTTTTTGGGTGTTTCTCAGAGGGTTTTGCTGTTGCAAAGCATTGGGTGCGCGGAAATTTTGGGGTCAAAATGTTGGACGTGTGGAAATTTTGGGGTCAAAATGTTGGATGCCCAGAAATTTTGGACTCAGAATACTGGACGCAAGGAAATTTTGGAGGTGAAATATTGGATACGTGGATATTGTGGAGTCAAAAATTTGGATGCGCAGAAATTTTGGATGCACGGAAATTTTGGTGTAAAAATATTGGATGCAAAGAGATTTTGGAGGCAAAATGTTGGATGTAAGGAAATTTTGG